AAAGCCTCTCCCGCTTCTTAATTTTCCTTAAGAGCTCTTTTGTTAACCAAGGTTTCCGAAATTTCTTATTGAATTTGCGCTCCTTATTGATAAAGTGCTTCTTATGTGCTGAAACACATGCTGAGGAAAATATTATAAGCTATATTGGCTTCTCCTTGTTGAAAAACTTCGTCCCAGCACATATCCTTAAGCTCTTTCTGAAACTCGCTTAAGGTCTTTTCGTTAATAAGCTGGAATGTTACGTTAGTATTAGCTTTTTCCTTTTCAAGGGGGTTGTTCGAACTGACAAACAAACAGGCATGTGGTCACTAATTGGACAACTCAAAACTCCACTAATCATACACGATGGATAATAGCTTGTTAAAAAGAGATCAAGAGTTGTTTGCGTCGTTTCAGTAATCCTTGTAAATGACTCAATAGCATTCGTACACCCATTCGAAAGGAACACTCTCTCAAAATCTTTTTTCCTCGCGCTATCAGAATTCATATCGATATTAAAATCACCACCTATTATGACATTTTGTCTCCGGTAACTTGCACAGGCCAACATATTTTCTAGGAATGTAAGAAAAACATTCAAAGCACCATCTGGTGGCCGATAGCACACCGCAAAAATTATATCCCTTGTCTCGGCACACAACACGTCATAATCGTCGGTTGAAGCAGAAAACTCTTTCAGCAAATCACATGGCATTGAATCATTTATGAGCAGTGAAACCCCACCCCCACGTCGTGAAGTTCTATTAAACTTCACGACGTGAAGTTTAATAGAACTTATTGTTAATAGAACGTATCTCTTATTGCCGGTTGCCCGCGGGCCACGTCCCAGCGAGTCGCGGGCCGCGTGTTTGAGACCCCTGCTATAGAGAGCCACTCAAGCGGCGCCAAAAGTGCACCGTCACGGTTCTCGCTTCCTTTATGTGTTTGACATCATCGTCTAAAATCAATCACACACAAGAAAAGAAACGCAGGATCGCGGCGCATTGACTGTGCGTGATTGGCTTAGTCGGTGATCTAGCAAACGAACAAAGGCGATGCACTTTTTGGCGCTGCTTGAGCTTGACAGGTTTATCCGATGGTAACATGTAAGAAAAGACGACATACAACGTGACGCTGCCCGTTTGGTGTGTACTCGGTTGGCCCGATCGGCCCGTTGCGTTAGCAGCGCTTGCAACTTTAAGGGAATCTGAGGCGGTTCTGTATTTGGAATGAAAAAAACGCACTTAAATAGTCTTCATTTGGCCTTCAGAATCGCGAATACTGAGATTATATATATATATATACAATCTCAGTATTCGTGATTCTGGAGGCCAAATGAACACCATTCAAGTGCGTTTTTGATTCTCTCTCTATCTCTCTCTATATATATATATATGGAGAATCCCATCATCTAGAACTAATTTTGGCTTCCTGAGGTTGAGTTACAGATTACCGTCACTGTTGAACACCTTATATTCCCAAGAAGTTGATTATCCTTCATTAAATGCCCATAGAGCTCAGGCTTTATATTGAGTGAAAATGTTTGGCATATGTTTGGTATATCTTCTACTTCAGTCTGCTGTTGAAGCACAACCTATCTTCAATGACACTTATTTTATACGATATCTTATATAAGTTATCGTTATTGTGTTTTTATTTCGTGTCTGGAGATGAGTGTTGGTAAACTTTCGTTAAATGTCCGTAAAATTTAAACTTGCCGGTAATAAATGATTGTTTGTCTTATGTTTGTTATATCTATCTATTTCAATGTGTATTGAGACGATACTTAATATATTGCTAAATGTCCTGTTACATCAGTTATTTTCACTGTGTTTTTTTGTGTGTTTTTGATGACAGTGCCGCTCTGCCCTGTGTTTTGGGGGGCAGGACCCCGTCAAGCTGCAAACATGCAGCTTTTTTTTCCTGGCCCCCCTTGTCACGTGTGTGTAAAAGCGCTGTGACAGAAAGAAACTGATTCTGATTCTGATATATATATATATTAATTTGGTGCATGGAGGTTGCAGTATATTATTTCCAAAGTATACCCCGCTGAAGCCCCTATATATAGCCTTCTCAGAGCGCCACGTCATATGCAGCATTTTCGGAATCTCCGCTCTGGCGCATCTTCGGCGCCTATCAAAGCTACTCGCGCGCGCTCTTCTTATCGTCAAAGAAGTAAGAAAAAACACGAGCGACGCGAGCGACAAGCGTTTGGTGGCCGAAAGATCTCGGTATATGATGGAACGGCGGTAACGACCGGTCAGTGGTTGTTCGCGGTTTCTCGCGTTGAGTTACATCTTCGGGGAAAACGAACGTGAAAATAGGATTCACGGGATAAAAATACTCTGTAATTGACCTCGAATTCGTTTTTTCTTTTTCACGCACCTCTTTAGTTTTTTTCTTCTTAAACACAAACTGGGTATACCACGTAATTTCACCTTTTGCCTTTGCCACCCGGAGGAACCATATAGATATTACAATAAACGCTAGAAGTCAGGCCGGCACTAGTGTCCTGTTGCATTTTGAAGCAGACTGCAACCAGTGTAAATTTGACTTCCATTGATGCATTCCTATGGGAAAACCCCAATGCGTTTTATCTTCGCGCTCGATTATAAGAGCATATGCAGCTTAGTGTTCTGACAAAATAAAAAGTTTGGAACGTTTTACAATCGAATTAACAAAAATATGTGTCAGAGAATTTTTCTTTAGAATTCATGGCGACAAACACTGCGCTAAAATAGCCCAAACACATATGTAGAATACGCGTTGACGTTGCAGACTGCTTTTATAGGGCACGTGTCTACCAATAAAGTCAATGCTATGAAGCGCACAGAGTGAATCTGCTTGACAAAACACCAAAAGGATGCTAATGTCTGCCAAACCAAAGAATCAAAACAGACGACAAGTACGAAGCATGGAGCTATGGAACAAGGAACACGTTTTGGATTAGTAACAAGCTGTGCATCAATAATCATTGATAGTTTGTATCGCCATTTCACAGCTTGCATTGGCATATCATGCTGTACAACATAGACCTGAGCCTCAATTTTCGCTAACTTAAATATCGCTAAGTAATAAAAACTATTAACTAAATAAATTACACTTTTATAATGTGAATAAAGCTACATAGTACCCCCCACGAGTAAAACAACTACGCTGATTTTTATGATTTCCTGGCGAAGAGAAAAATTTCACGTACGTTTTCCCATAGGAGTACACAGGAAGACTGGAAAAGTAGACTGGATGCTGTCTGCTTCAATTTGCAACCGGAAGTCTCGTAGACACTAACGCCAGCTGAACCTCTAGCGTTTCTAGCGTTCTGGCACGTTACAGTCGCTGAAATCAAGGGCTTAGCCTCCTCACTCTTCTTGCTTCGTTATGCGTAACCCATTTATTGCCATTCTTACCGGCTAATGTCGCAATTCTGTCACAGCGCAGCGATACTTGACGACAGGGACTCGCAGCGCCCTGAGTTTCTTAAACTACAAGTTATTACTTTATGTCTTAGAGCGCAGCTCTTAGGCGCCCGTTTCCGGCTTGAGCGGCGTCGCAGTCGCCGTCGCCGTCGGCGTGACCGCGCGTTGCATTATGGGACTTTTCATATAATGACGTCACACGTGACGTCACGTGTGACGTTACACTCGTGACGTCAGACGGCGCCTAAATTTAGCGAACATTTTTTCCACTAAATTTAGCGGAACACTTTCCCGCTAAATTTAGTTGAGAAATTTCCCCTCAAAATTTAGCGAGGAAATTTACCGGGAAATAGTCCCACAATTTCCCTGCAAGTTTCTTCCCGCACCCTTCCCTCCTCCTCCTCAAGAGCTGCGCTCTAATTCGGCATTACAGATAATTGTAAACGTCTTTCATTTTTATGGAACCTTTTAAAAGTGATGAAAGAATAAAGAAAATGCCGATCGCTTGTTTGTGTTAATTAACTGTGTCGCCTCCTGTATCCCCCGATTTGCAAGCACAAATCGCAGTTCCACACGCCCGTACGTTGTTGGTATTCGAGGCACGACCCTTCGTTCGTTTCGACTGACGCCAGAGTCACGTTGCTCAAACATTGTACAAAAGGCAGTCTGCAAATACCAGTGACGCAATATCCGTGGCTCGAATGCCGCGTTCCAAGTCTCTCCTTGAACGCATTGCCCTGCGGCATTCGAAGCACGGACCTCGCGGTGACTCGTGTTCCAATCCGCATCCAGACTGTCTTTTGTATGACGTATAAGCAGCGGGACCCCGGCTTTAGAGATGCGCTGTGCATTATAGTGTGCACGCGCGACCACAGGTTAATTTATGGGCGGTGAGCCGAAGGTTTCTCTGACAACCGCCATTCTGGGTGTTTCTGTGCACGGTGCGTGCCTCATTCGCTTGCCAACGGTGGTAAAAGAGCGCATGCCACTGGACTGTTTCTTCCTCACTACGCTGAACGGTTACGTTCAGTAAGCAATAAAATGGCGTAATGGCGACTTGCGCCACCCGAAGCGTCGATGCAGTCAACCTTCTACCATTGGCCAAGGGCTGATCGTGACGCCTTTGGTAGGGATTCATTCCGCTTTCATCGCCGTAAGTGAGGGAAATTTCAGAAATCCGGGTGCGACTTCTTGTACTTGAGCACATACGGTGGCTCCAAGTTTTCATCGTGCTTTTTATACAGACCCTCGAGCTTGTCGTCCGCCAATGACAATAGGGAGTTTTAGGGAACCGTTTTTGCACACCCAATGTGGAACGATGGGCCCTACGGTAGGAATTGCGCGTATGGGAGACTTAAGCGCGAAACACATGTACGACGATTTCTGGTCGCGACGTCGCGTAAGGAGGTCACCACGGAAACATCTCGGTCCCGGTAGACCGCATACAACCACTTACAAAAGTAATGGATCCGCATGCGAAAGAGAGGGAACAGTGTGGGTCCATGCGAGTTGGGTAAGAGAAGGAGGCACGCGTGAAGGCGTCGTCGTTTGGAATGGTGGCTGCCAGGATGCCTCCTTGTAAAAACAGTTCATACCGCTACGCACCTTGTTCTTTGGCCTGTTGTGAATGAGTTGGACTGCCTGGTTAGCCAACAAGCTCGTCAAGTAGCGTCCGGCCTCCTCGACCAGAGCTCGCTTCTCGTCCTTGAGCGCGTGTCCCGAGACGTCGATGTTGTTCTGAAAGGAATGGTGGTTTCACAGGTTTCGGTGGTACGAACAGAGACTCGTAGTCGACAGTTTCGAAATTGCTAAGCTGGAACTATACGCCAGCGCGCCGTGCGCAAACAAGCCCGCGTTTGCTCACACCAGGTGTCAGCAATGCACGTGCGCAGAATCCAGCCCAACGGCGGTGGCTTCACGTCAAAGTCGCGCGTTCGCTAATAGTAATTGTCCGTTGTGTGCATGTATTAGACGACGTGAAGTTAGCTCTAAAGGCCCTGCTATACTCCGACAACGAGCGTATAGCAAACGCGGCGTATCGCAGCGCACAGAGATACTGATTGGTCGCAGATATCGAGCTCCTGCTCGTCGGCCAATGAAAGGCGCGCTCTGTGTTTCGCTGCGCTCAACGCCGGAGTATAGCAGAGCCTTAATAGGCGCCCCTGGTGTCTCCGCTATGGATGAAAAAATTAGCCAGTGCAGTACCCACTGCTAGCTCGGGGTCTTTAATGTGCATCGCGCAATTGTGATTGCACGTCTGCACGCCGGCACGATGCTCATCCAGATCGAAACGGGCAGGGATTGAGCCCGGGACTCCTGAGTTCTGCATTTCAAGCTTTCGCTTCACGTGCCTTAAAAGACACTCGGCTTCCGATTTTCTCCAGCATGCTTTACAGCGCGTCGAAGAGGAATCTCGATCATTGTCAAGCTGGTATTTTGATACACGGTACACCTAGGGGTTCGTAATAAGGATCGGTCACGAGACACATGAACCCACGTTTGACAGTGATTGAGTTTCATTTTTGGACGCGTAGTCTGGAAAACGTGTGGGTCATACGAGAACGCAGGAAGTCTGGCAAGATGGATTAGGGACCTGTGATTGCAGCTCGCACGGTATTGTGTCGCGTGACACCGACTACTGGTCAATCTTACTACATTGTTTCAACTTCCGGGCTATGTTTACGTTTCGTACTTATTGCTAAAGAGTATTGCAGGCCAGCTTGCTTTTTTATCTTTTCTCTGCTGTTTAATATCTTAACGGCTTTTTCCATTTGCCATATATGTATCTTTTTTGGTGTGGGCCAAAACGATTGATTGAAGTGATCGGGCTATGAAGTCTAGAAAGAAGTATTTATATGCGTCATATATTGATATTTTGACAGAACTTCATTGCACAAATATCCTGAACTTCAGTTTGTTTGTTTTAAATTTTGTTTACCGCCGAATTTACAAACGTTATTTCAGTTGAGGCGCCGGCCCTCTCAACTTTTTCGAGAAAGTGAAGGAGTGCCTCAATTGGAGTGAGGTTTCTGAAATCGACGGTAAGATTTTTTTATTGTCTTTAAAATTACTGTGAAGACCGTCGGACACAAAATGACTTACGTCTCTCGCGAAGTGTGTCCAGTAGTCGGAGTCGCCGTTGTAGATGCCGTAGAAAGTGTCAAAGCCACGTTTTGTGGGCTTGAACTCGTCCTTGCAGAAGCCTAGATGCCACTGTTTGCAATAAAATGAAACGGTGTCGCAACCACAACCTCATGTTATAGACGTTTCTCAAGCTAGTCTGGCCACTGTGACTCCATCAGATCCAGTCAAGTCTGACAACTGCGGGCGCCTCAGACGATTTAAATAAAGCCGGAATTTAGAGCAAAATTTAATGGGGTGTGTGTAAATGTTTCTAGACTAGGTGGCGCAAGCTACCGCCAAGCGATCCATACATCCATGTTTCACTGTCAGACGCGCAGCAGCGCAAGCTCAGTTCGACTCATTCAAAGCGATATGTTTAAAACATTGTTGCGAATTCTCGATATAGGTCAGTTGGCGTACACAATGTTTTAAAGAATCTTCAACAATTCTTCTGGCTCATGCGCAACTTTTTCCCAAGTGAACTAAAGCACCCACATCAACCATTCGGCAAACGCAGATATAGGATATATTTGAAGGCGCGCAGTTTGAAGGCAAATAACCTGTCACTTTCAGGGTGTTAGAAGATGTACTATCTCCGGCCAACACGAGAGACCTATTTCCTGCAGAAGCTTATGCGGTGGTGCACATGTTGGTTAGAGGTGCTTGATTTTTGGAGAGAGCGTATATAGAAAAAAGCTTCTTTCGTATCTGCATCTCAAGCAATGCGGTCTTGGCGAAGGAAAATCTAGCACAGCCACTTGAAACTTACCTCCTTGACTGGATCTTTAGTATTGCTAGAGACTGTACTTTACGTAGTTTCAGATCACGTCCTACAGGGTGCCGTTGCAGTCTATTGGAAGGCGAGCACAATCTGTGAAACTAAAGGTAATTTGAACGGACAGTTAATTGCTCGCGGTTTTACATATGACAAGCCTAAATAAATGCGATAATGAAATTTCGTGGAAAAAATAAAGATAAACTTTCGATAATAGAAATTGATGATGTCAAACAAACACGGATCACCTCTGCAGCCGTTCGTGTGTTCGTAACTATTAGGTATATATTTTTTTACGATAATTAGATAATAACAGCTGGCGTGCTCACGTGGGTGACACACCAGATCTGGCTCCTAAGCTTGTAAAGTTGTCTGCTAGAGTCACTGAGAGCTTAAGAAACGCGAATATAACTTATTATGATCTCGCTTTGGGATTGGTTGTTCGGCGTCCTTATCGGCAAAAGTCGCAATCTTATTGGCTGCTGAACGATAATGAGATGCTCGGGCTCGGCACACCATGACTCCTTTAGACTCACCTTTCCCACCATGTGCGTGGAATAGCCGAGGTCCCGGAGGTGCTGGGGTAGCAACGTGAAGTCCACGCTCAAACCGATAGGGTCTGCGCTGCCGATGTCAAGACGTTGCGTGCCTGTGCCGAAGGAACGCGGAGCGCAAGTTCGTCTGCTTCTTGAGCAGGGACGACGATGACGTCAGAAACGCCTAGCTCTGATTGGCTCCAATTGGATGGATAGTGGGTAGACCTCAAGGCGGCCAGCAGTGAGGTCTACCCACCGCCGGCCCTCCGTCAGAGCCAATCGGAGCTTGGCATTCTGACGTCAGTGCAAACACTTTGCAAGAAGCAGACAAACTTGCACTCCGCATAGTTTGACAATCGACCAACATACCGTTTATAAAGAAGCCCGCGCAGAAACGAGATTCGCCTGAGGCGAAGCATCTCCACATGCGCAGTGCCGACAGCAGCGACACCACGATGGCGTAATATTAAAGTTATTTTTTAAACCGTTGGTAACCATGACATGCACTTAACCTTGAATGTTTGTTTCCGTAAGTTTAAGTTGAAGTCCGTCGTGTTAGTCGGACTTCAACTCCGACATGTTTAGGGGTATGCAAACTTACTCCGTGGTCGTGGCGAGCCGGAGAAAGTTCACTACAAAGCCGAAGAGACTTGACTTATCGCCACTACAGGTTCCGGAAAGATACGGCGTTTCGCTCCCCATAGCGTGTTCCACGATGAAACCACTAAATGCTACCGAACGCGTCCAGGAGCGGGGTGGAGAGAAGCTCAAGGCTTCGTTCGGTAAGACTTGCGTGGGGTCGGGCGTGGCGGCAGGGCGACCGGTCCGACTCCCGGATGCAGCGAAACGCACCGAGCACGTGGACAGGGGGTGGGCCAGTCACATCGCTTTGCCCTCTCGGACTCCCCACGGCTGGCAACGGCTCGCTGTCGTGTACAAACAGAAACACAGAAAGGGAGTCCAGCTTTTTTCACGGAGCGGTGAGCCGTTCACGGACCACGCCGCCAGTTTGCATACCCTTTTAGTCGGTGGTCATAGAAGTCTTCCAACTACTGCATTGATAGGATTCTGCTTGATGAATTGGTGTCTGTTTTACCGACGGCGACGTAACAATTCCAGCACATCGGCTAGGAGGAGTTGAGCCAACACTTCGTGGATAACAAAATTGTTTTGCTGAATTTCCGGCGTTACCTCTCGTGATCGCCTTCGACGAGAGGACATCATGGCGTCATCTACAGGGATGCCGTGGAACGCTTGCCACAGACCTTACGCGAAAGTGCTTGATGGTCTGACAACACTGAGAGTGTCGCCATTTTAATGTTGGTAAGCGTCATCGGTACCGAAGGATGCAACACCATCTGTTGCATGCTAATAAACAATTCTGGTAAACCAGTTACGCAACTGAATAATTGTATTTGTCACTGACGTCGATACAAATTATACAATGCGGAAATATCTTCAAAAGTAATTGAATTACAGTTCTTAGTATTTGTACTCTACTCCAGATACTTTAGAGTGAAAGTAACTTGAGAAGTATTTTAAATACTTTATGAAGCAGGTATTTAGTACTTAACTTAAATACTTTTCTCGAGTACTTTGACGAACACTGAGTAAATCACAGTTCCAGGACCACCTCAGAAGTGGCGCCAGAGTGCTCTCCGGTGCGCCCAGACTTCAGAGTGTTACCAACTGCTTGATCCGTGCACTCTAAGAAATGCCTGTGCGCTTACTTACTAGCAAAGCACTCGAAGAGCCAATATCTGCGATCTACGAAATCAGCTCAGCGAATGGTGAGGCGGAACATCTGGTTAAACCCCAAAATTAAGTCCGCGCTGTGGCATTACGCGACGCAAGCATGACGCTTTGCATTGCGTAATGCCACAACGCAGACTTCATTTTTAGATCTAAACCGATGTTCCGCCTCATCATTCGCTGAGCTTATTTTGTTGATCGCAGAGATTGAACCTTTGAGTGTTTTGCAGGTAACTAGACGCGTAGGTATTTCTTAAAGTGTGTCACGTGTTTTAAAGGTTCGCGCTTGCAATACGAGCTGCGAGAAGAGGACGATAGCACTGGATATCTGCAGGTATCTCTGCCTTTTCCATCGAGGTAGAGGGGTTCCGGTTCCGGCCTGCACTCTAAAATGACCCACATAAAGCCGCTGCCATTGTACGCAAATTTGACCACTCGTCACGTGACCAAACCAAACACGTGTCGTCACAGCAAAGATGGCAGCGCCCAGGCAGCGCCTGGCCCCAGTTGGGCCGGAGCACTGGCCGGAGCTTGTCGGATGCTTTGTTCGTTGTCATTCGTCTCAGCGAGTTGATTTCAGATGCGGAAGCCGTCATATGAGGCCTGTCGATAGCGACTTCAAAATTCAGCGTGGTGTCTTACGTAGGTATAACGTCAAAATACGGAGGAACTGTGTGCATTTTGCCGGTGATCGACGGGGATATTGCCATGAAAGAGACAATCGGCCCTGCGTTGCTCGGACCTCGGATTGATTCGGATACCGCTAGGATAAATTTTAAGGTGACGTTTCCATGCTCTCGTTGACCATTGGAATTAATAAGGCATGCAGTGTACCATCTAAGAGGGGTATGATTATACACATGGAGGTCACTGTGGACTATTGATACCGATCGGCAAGCTAAAAAGCCTACTAATACTAATTTCTAAGGGAAATCGGGTGCAACATTTTGTGCAGTGATCAATAAAAAATGTAAAGACTTGCTATGTTCTCAGTTCCAAGGGGACAAATACACTGTTTTATGAACATAATTAATTACCTTTTTTGCGAATGATTGGTTCGAATGCTTTGTAAGAGTTCGCGTACACGTCAATTAAGCAAACGCCAACTTTTGCCTTCAAGAAAGTATTGAGATCGAATGTGAACCGCCGTTTATCACAAAAGGTGACTCAGGGCTGAAAGAACTTCCCCTAGGCCCTAACGCGACGTATACCGTTCGCTTCGATTCTCAGACATTCCAACGTTAAAACGAAGCTAGAAAAATGCGAATATTTTATGCTAGAAGTTATATCGTAAAATTGTTGATTAGTACAAAACGTAAAGATCGCAGGAGGTTCCTCGCTAAAAGATGCTGTGATTATGCAGTTACTTAGGGTCGAAACTAATTCCCTAGGCCCTACGTCCGACGCAAACATTTTCGTGTTGATTCTCAGACATTCCAACGTTCAAACAAAGCTAAGAGAATGCGAAAATTTCATGCTAACAGCACTGAAATTTCCATCGATCCTCGAGCACATCCGGGAATCCGAGCACCGGTACGGCGATACGGCTGGTGCTGTCTCACAGGCAGGCACGTAGCCAGGATTTTGTTTCGGGGGGGGGGGGGGGGGGGGGGGGCACCCATGACAAAATGCTGTATGAGGGGGAGGGGGGAGAGGAGGCCCCAGCAAAATGGAAGATTTCGGAGGGGGCCCGGGCCCCACGGGCCTCCCCCCTGGCTACGTGCCTGCTCACAGTTGTTAATATCCAGATGATCCAGAGCCCCCCATCTTGCGCAAAAGGAGTATAAAGTCCCATTCCTTCATATTTTCACATTATACCTGAGAAGGCGAGCACGAAGAAGCCCGAAGTCGTCGGAAAGCAGCTGCACATCACGGCTACCGCGCACCGAACGAACTCACATCCGCCAGCTCTGGGCGCTGCCATCTTACCTGTGACGTCACGGCTCTTGTTAGGTGACGTGACGAGTGGTCACTGTCAACGTTATCAGATTAGCTCAGTTACGGAACTGCTCATAGACGCCGCATGCACGAACAGTACCGAACAGTGGTGAGTCGTGGTGAGTGAGGGGGGGGGGGGGGAGGGGGGGGCTCACTCACCACGACTCACCAAGCGTCGCTCGACGCGCCGCCAGACGGCTGCTTTGGTAACTGAATCAGGATACATACGTTTCAACGTACTAGAAACGTAAAAAACAACGGAAAAAACTCTTTTGGTAGTAACTTTTATTGGAGTTTAGTACAAAATGAGGGGCGCGTGATGTTTTCTAAAATCTTTAGTTTGCAAGGTTTTGCGGTACAATTAATACTGTTTTAAAACAAACCATGCCTCAGTGGGGATTTCAGGTAGCGCGTCCCGACCTAGGCTCATCTTAACTTCGAGGCAAATTCTCGGCGCGGCCGCTGGGGGAGACGGGGCTGGCTTCCCTGTACCTCTTTCCAGTGTATCTGTTTCGGCTGCGAAATGGCCGATTGAAGCCAAAATGGTTGTTACGTGCAGCTCCGCGAGTGTCCGCCGCAGGATTAATGGCGGCGTTGTGATCGCCTTTAGTCGCTTCAGCTGGGCTCTTTGGAACGCATAGTTATGAAACGAAAATATAGATGGCGCTTCGAACGGCGCTTGGCGGATTGAAGTGAGTGAGGGGGGGGGGGGGTACCCCCCTCCGCGGGAGTTCCACAACTGAGGTAATCTAATAACATTGGTCACTGTCACATACAACATGGCGGAAACCGGGGGGAGTGTCATTTTTAAACTTCCGGTTTATCACTCTAGGCCCCCGTACCTGGTTGGCCTTTTCGCCCGCAACAACGCAGCGCATCCGCACTCGAAACCAATTTGCCCAGGAAGCGTCCGCACGAAATCGCAAACGCTGTGAACGGTTTAAGTTGGTCCGACTCTTAAATCTGGGCTCTCTACTGTTTTTTCGTCATAAGCTAACGCAGGCGTGTGAGCCAGCCTTAGGTCATTAGCAGTGAAGCGGAAATGTGTTAACCCGCACTTAGGAAAGAAACATAATAAAGTGGGGTCACCTGTGTGGATGGGGTAGAGTCCAGTGAGCAGTGCGGCTCGAGTGGGCGTGCTAAGTGGCTGGACGTAGTTGTGGAAGAGGATGATGCCGTCCATGGCGAGGACGTCGATGTTCGGGGTCGGGATCTGATCAGAGCCGTGGTAGCTCACGTCGTGCCAGCCCTGGCATTGGGAGGTCGGGAACAAAACTTGTCGTAAGAAAGTTCTGTGGGAATAGGTCCTTCGCCACAGGCACCCGAGTCAGGGTTTCTGTCCGCGTAAGTTCGTTCGTTTTAAAACGCGTTTAAAAGCTGGACTTCATGCGAAAAGCGTCACGTCCGTGTGTATACAAAATAGTTATACGCAGGTCAAGGCAACATAAAACATAGATAGCCGATTGAGCTGAACCAGGGTTGACTCAGGGAAGCCAGTGCGGTAGCACGTGACAGTTGGCTCGCGCAGCTGGCTCCCGAATGAAAAATCGGGAGCCAGCTGCGCAGGTCATGGGTCTTGAATAGATTCAAACATGACTCGATAATTTTTATAAAACTGCGAAGCACATGAGTGCACGGTGCGTGCAACGCACTCGAACCAGCCAAAGATCCCCGTAACCGGGCATTACACATTAAAATGCACGTATGATGCATTTTGTGCTGTCCGAGTTTCCCAGATTCAGCATGACGGAACAAGCTTAAATTTTCTTTAGAGCCGAGAAATAGCTCTTTTCAGCCGTTTAAGGACACTTTAGGCTTATTGTAAATGGCTAGCCGTAGGCTAAAGTCCGTTGGTCATTTTGTTATAAACCGTTTACTGGAGCAGCTGAAATATTTACGAAAATGCTTGACGGTAATGAACTTCTCAAAGTGGCCGGAAGCAATTAAAAACTTTTTATGTGCAAAAAAAAAATGCAAACGATTACAGTGTGCTGCAATTCACAGCGAAAGCTGCTGCGTTGTGGAGAGGACTTTTAAAGAAAATTTGCCTTCCTCCAGTGGGCTGTAAAATGCTTGCAATGGCTTCTTTGCTTTCAGCGGAATTGATATAGGAGACGTGAGTGAGGAGGTGTGTGCTTTGTTAATCAATCGTGCGAGATGTTGCATTTGTTGAAAAGAGAACCAGAGGCATCCTTTTTTTTTGGGAAGGGGGGGGGGGGAAAGGATTATGCGCTCTTTCAGAAGGGGGGGGCACCTGTGACCGTGCCAGCGGTGGAAGAAGCAAAAGTTTCTTTACGCGAGCTGTTCGTCGAGACGCGCAGAGCACACGAGAACGGAACCTGGGTGGCGGCAGTCGGGAGGCGAGGGAGCGTGTCCGCAGAGCGCGACCACGTGGGTTTTTCACAACGGCGGCTGCCGTAAGGGTGGGGTGGGGGAGGAAGGGAGAGCGTCGCCGTAAGGAGCGTGGATGTACACCTCCTAGAAGATGAGGCCGTAGCGATCTTCTCATGACGTCGCAAAGGAAAGCGAAAGCAACGCGCCTGGATCGACCGTCGTAACAACGCGCTTGTAGTCACACAACCCGGTCTTATTAGCTCAAATGAAAGCTGCTCATAGCAACGGGGCTATAAGACGTTTCATTACACGGGCAAATATTACACCCCTAAATAATCGGCATGAAATGGCACGAGGTATGCATATAATACGTTTACAGAAAAAAACGTGATAGTTTTAAGTCGAAAACATTGAACCACGCAATTATTGCTGTAGGAATGCATATTTTGTACAAAATTATTTGCACAATGGCACATGGACTTGTTATTCACCTTCCAGCGAAAACTTTAATGTCACCCCGTATATTTACAAATGTCGACGCAATTGCACACGGATAACGACGACCAACGAGATTCCATTCTATCGCGAGAATAAAGCAACCGACTGGAGCTCTCTACTCGCGTCCCACATGACCAACAAAAGCCCGTAAATAAGTTAGTCCTCAGCTGTCAATCGTATTCATACGACCCCAATTATCCGTCACAAAAATATTTGAACATGAACTCCCAGAAGCCTCTCGCTCTTTCTCTCAAGGGAGAGAGGTCTATCCCTCGTAAATGCCGTATAGTGTCAAGAGAACACAGGAAAACGAAGCACGAGAGCAGCGGCAGAAGTGAGGGAGAAAAACTTAAAGGGATGGTGAAGCAAAATTTGGATTTCAGAAAACAATGCCGGAGCTGTAGGCGGGACGCTACAATCCCTACAACACTACTCGTAAAACGATATCTCGAATCGGCAAAAAAAAAAAAAAAAAAAAGTCAAGATCGAACGAGGCCGACGAGGCGCGTGACGTCAAGATATCTTGTTTCCTCCTCTCTTCGTTTCTCCCCTCAAGGCGGTGAGGCGGAGAAGATGCGAGGCCGTTCTCTCTCCTTCTCGACATTTATCGGAGAAACAAGACGTGGACACATCTGTCAAATGCACGTCTTTTTGTTTTTTCTCCTTTAAATACGGTCATCCGTTCGATATATCGCTGCATGAGTGATGTTTTGATGTTTGTCGCATACCAAATTTCGGTTCAGCTTCCCTTTAACGTCGTCGACCCATCTCTCGCTCCTGTACGCTCCCTGAGGAGGTGAGTGGATTTTTTTCTGGTTCCCTTCTCTTCTGAAATGTCTCGGCGTATTTTTTCAGACAGTCAGCAGATCACACGCAACGTAAATTTACCAGGATCGGAGCCCGTATGAAGGAAGAAAATGTCGCCACCGGAGCCGGTGGCGACATTTATATTTATATTTATTTATATTTATGATTATCCCGTAACCGCGAAACCACAGGCAGTCCCGAAGCGGGACTGCACTGTAGTCTCGCGGTTACGGGATAATTATGAATACTAACTTGGTACTTTCAACCTTGGTAACGCGTTGTATATTACGTTTATAATATATATGTAATAAATTATACAAAACTGCACCTCTAAACCGTATATTAATGTCGGCTAAATGCGCACGAACAAACCACGTGACCTGAGTGAGCAGACGACGCGGCCGGGGTAAAGAGAAAAAGAGAACCAGAGTGGGCGCCTTTTATCGGCGTAGCCTCCCTTGTCCGGCCATTGTGACGTCATGAATCGGAGCTCTACGGAGTTAGCTTCTAGGAAGTGTTGGGACGTAGCGAGAACGATGGGGAGAACGCTCTCATCGTGATCACGTGGGTTTCTCGGAACAGCGGTGCCCACTGGGGGAGCGAGAAGGAGCCTTGCTGCGGTTGGCGTGTGTGAGGAATGACGGGGGGAGGGAGAGCAGTGCCTCTGCTGTAGAGTGGGGTTTTGCGTTCACACGTGAGCATTTTCTTTTATGCGAAAGCAGTAACTGTCCCATGGAGCGAACCTGCGTTATCAGCTCTTGAAGGCGCGCCGAATGGCACTTAGATACGATCGACGCACCGAAAAAAAATTCCAATGCAAGCCCGCATTGTCATCGCAGCGGAGGGAAACCAACACATCCTGGAAGCAGGGCTTGTACGACTTTCTGAACCCGCGGTGCCATTCTCGGCGTTCGCGCGCCTGACGACTGACAAGCTCGCTTTCCAAAGCCGCGCCTGACCGCGCTATGACGACTCGTTCTAGACGACGCCCCCTGCGCGGCGCCGAGAGCGTCCGTACACACCGACTTCCCACTGGTCAGGCAAGTGTTGGGCTCCAAATCTCGCCACTGCGACACCGACTCAGTGGACGCCGCCGTGAAATTATGGGGCAAATAACAGCGTTGCCACGGCAATGCCATGGCAACGTGGGTTGTTTGCCCGAAAAAGCAATGGCGGCACCCATTGACGAGCTCCCATTGGTTGAGAAGAGTTCGTGGCTGCGCCTACATCCGTTACACCTCGCTCCGTGCATTGGACATAGGGACGCCCCCTCCTGCCCCTTATAACCTTTAGTATACCCCTTTGCCCCCACGGTTTGCTTCCCGTGCAGCCCCTTGATGTGTTTGCGTTTGTCTTGCAAGTATAGGAGGTATTCACTGGGCGCCATATTTGAGGGCGATGTTTAGAGCGCATGCTTAGAACGAGCTCACATTAATAGCCTGCTAAGACCGGTGACCTTGATGGTGCTAAATGCACGCTCCAAAAGGACTGCGGAAGCTCGCCGTGAGCACGCGCTCAGCAGCAGGGCACACGGATATGGCCGCCAGTGAATACTCCCTATAGCGTACGCCAAAGGCGCAGTGCGCACGAAGTCCGAGTCTCGAGCGGCTCTTGGAAGAAAATGGCAGCGCAGCACTGAAATGAGCGGCCCTTGGAAGGGAATGGCGGCGGAGCACCCGCTCGTGGCACGTGTCTTACACGTTTCCACAACAATAGTTGGCGGCATTTGTAAGAAACGCCTTTATCAAGGGGCTTCTGCTTCCCGTCGTTCGACGTGCTACCGCTCTGGGGGGACGACTTCAATGGTAACTGCCGTACAGTCTATGGAATACGTATGTTTCGAAGCATAGCGCCTAGACGACGTTTCATCGTACTCGGAACGCAGAGTTTTGGAGCAAAAATCTAAATGGCACTTTAAACGACGGGAGGCGGGCCGAAAGGAGTGAGGGGCCTGGTGCTCCTTCCGCGGGAGTTCTACAACTGAGGTAATCTAGTAACGTTGGTTCGTACTGAGAGGCCTAGTGACGCTGTTTCTCTTAAATATTTTAAACAGGGCCTCGTCTGCAGTTCTGGGTCCGTTTGCTTGAAGTGCGGTTAAGCGCTAACCGCGGCTAAAGTTACCCACAGTACCTAGGAGAGGGATTTTGAAATCACGTGACTGGGCTCGGTAGGCGAGCCAGTCACGTGATTGAGCAACGTGAGCGACGGGGCCATGACTGGCACGAGCCAGTCATGGCCCCGTCGCTTCCTTTGACAAAATGAGTGCGGCGTACGCAGTTTCCACGTTCGCGATCGCATTGGTGTTTGTCTTCAGGGCCCGTTTGCTCGAAGCCGGTTAACTTTAAACGCGGTTAAAAGTAGACCGCCCTTCCATAGGTACCTACAAGTACCTAGCCAAGTTTGGCGAGAGCTGGATGAGCGACAGCTCCGTGTTTTTTTATAGGGTGATAGCTGGTGTTACCTACTGGTTGTAGCAAATATAAGTGACTTCCGTGGAAAAAGTTCCCAAAAAAGGGGGTACCCAACAACGCGTGCTAACGGGTTCTCGCGACGCAGCGCGGCATACATTTGAGCAGACACATTTTTTGTTGCTCGTGGTACAGATATTGGGTAAGGCAAAACTAAATTCACCCTTGTTTTGAAAATATTCTGAATGCTTGGCTATCTGAATAGAAGAAAAGCCTCGTTAAAATTTCCTTCCAAGTTCGAAAGAGGACGACGAAGTTCACTCCTAGAAAAGATCAGGAAGAAGTGAGCAGCATGGTTGGCCAGCATGTAGGAACTGTATATAACACCATTATGAATTGAAAAACCTGTAATTCGGCTTCAGTGAAAATAGACCTATTAGTAAATTACCCAAGCATCGAGGAGAACGCTGAAAATGTAATTCTACGGCCCACGCGTGCTGGCCTTCCTCTTATAAAAGAATCGAAGTAAATAAACACAATAAGGCTTTGACGAACGTGCGTGCACGGCAAAATTTGGTTTAGACTTTTTGCATTAGAACAATCACTACTGCAGACGCCAGCACGTGCAACGCGTGTAACTACACTCGTAGCATGCACCTCGGTGCTTGGGAAATTTAGAAAAAGGTCTATGCGGAGGGCAAGTTCGTCTGCTTCTTGCTCAGGGGCTGTGATGACGTCAGAACACCAAACTTTTATATGCTCAATTAGAAAGATATGGGGCCGCCGCGACCCCCTATCTGAGCGTCGTCTGCTCCTTTGCAACGTCGTCTGCTAGTCAACAGCTGTATTAGATTTACGAGCGAGCTCGGACTTCGCCTTTCAGAGAGGGCAGACGAAATAACTCGAGCTGTACGATGTGTTTTTGTCTAACAACTAGCAGACACGTATCAAGGTGCGAAGCCAAAGGACTTCACGGGCGAGGTGGCCGACGCGCCGAGGTTTGTTTGCTAACAACCGAGAACGAGGGTGGTTAGCGTCCGCAAGTCCCCTCCTTTCGTGTGCGGCGAGACTCCTCACTCCTTAACGGTGTCGGCAGGTTGGCGAGGTTGGCGCAGTTTACATCGTCTGCTAGTCAAAGCGATGGCTGTTTTACCTTTCTTGCGTCTGTCGGAGATTCACCGCTCTTTCACAGACAAGAACGCGGCCTTCAAAAAAGGCGAAGGAAAATGCCTTGAAGAGTACGTACTTTCTTTTGAGGTAGAGGATTTCACTCTAGTAACGAATGTACAGGCGACGTTTAAGAATAATAGCTACACGGTAAAAATTACGCTCTCCGATAAAGGTGACATTTTAGAGAGTCACTGTGAGTGCCCTTGCGGGGCCGCTAAGTGCAGCCACGTGGCGGCTACCCCATTTTAAGCGGCTATAAATGCACTGTCCAAGACGAACCTTCCCCAGCAGTGGCTGCAAGGCCCCGAGAGCAGCATGCCGCGGCAGGTCGCTCGCTCAGGTAAGTGAACACCATATTTCATCGCTATGTTAAAAATTTAGTTGCACGAGCTTCGTGAATGGTACATCGAGTTTGACGAATTGTTCAAAGATAATCAGCTAAATAAAGATGACAGCCGAAGTAGTGACTGGAATTAAACAAATGCGGCTGTGCGATTGCTACTGTGAGCACATCATAACCCGAAAGTGCTCGATCGCTGCTTGTTGTCACAATTTTCTCGCGCGACTAAAAGGCTATTGTCAATTAGCGTATTCGGGTATGTATGCTTGGCATAAACCTAAGTCGTAAAAGTATGAAAAGCTGTGCTAATCCGTGGAAGATAATCCGAGCAAGATCGATCGAGCTACCCGAGCGGCGTCGAGCGTATCGCGGAAGTTATGTCGTAGACTCGTAGAAACCAAGAAGTAATTAGTGTTTTTGTTTTTGGCGAAATTTTATGGAAACTTATTTTTCTATGCCCTGTTATTTAAACAGACGAACACGTGCTCGGGGGTAATCCGATGGACTTCAATTAGCCCTCCGTATTTGCTCGAGCCACATTTTTCTAAGCTTACTGTGTTAACAGTCAGGAATAAAGAGAGGCCGCTTCCTTCACTGTAGTGCGCGTGAGACCCCGGACATCTAAAGGCATTACAGATATGTCATTGCTTTGTTTCGTGTGGCTAGGAGCCGCTTGTCCCTCTACGAAGCGTGCAAGGTGCAGAGGACTACGCACCTATTTAATAGGCTAGGGTCTCGTTCGTTATCGGAATTAACCAGACAAATCGCTCCACCAACTAAGAACGGCAATGCACCACCATCCACCAAATCAAGAAAGAGCTCTCAATCTGCCAATCTTCCCAGAAATTTAAAATGCGACACACCGTTGTGAATGCGCCCACCACATCCGAAGACGCAGCACGTTTTCATTTCCTCTGGCAACATTGCCCCTTGGACAGGGCCTGATTGGAGCCGACCTCTAAATCACACAGGACAGAAGCGGAACGTTTTTTTCTCCTTTTTTTTAACCAGCAACCACGCGAAGGACTCACGGCTACAGTCATAGCTCCTACAGCACGTCCGCCATTGCCGACGCCGAGATGTTTACATCCGCGACTCCCCCCCCCCCCCCCCCCCCCTCCCCCCCAAGGAGGCAGAACTTAGTACAACCTCCTCTCCCACGTTCACACCTCCTTTCCCATCGCAGAAGACCGAAATGAGCCCACTTGCAAGGCGCATTGGGACGCTGTCTGCTTTTTTGTGCTTCCAATACCCGGCCGATTGAGTCAAGGCAATCTACTTTCCAAAGACGTTGCCATGCCGACAATTATCGCGTTCATTTAAGTTAGGAATGGCCAGAATCAGAAGACTATAAAAAAAATGCGGCGAGGTCATTGCTCATTCTTTGCGATTTAAGAGAGGTAAGGCACAGCTGCACCATTCATTGCTGACTATAACGCGCCCGATATTGCGGCTACAATGATATATTAGTTCCAAAGCGAGCGGCGCTCACCGACCGGGACACTGCCATGCTTCCCCACATCCCTACTGAGCCAATCACGTGATATAAAAATCCCTCTCCTAGGTACTACGGCTAACTTTAGCCACGGTTGGCGCTTAACCGCACTTTGTGCAAACGGGCCCTAAAGTCATAATAGATTATAGGTTAAATAGAATTGAATGCGATTACTTTTTGAGTTAATAAAAGCTTTGGCATCAAGTTTTTTGTGTTTTGTTTAGTCAGTAAGAATTTAAGAAACGCAGAGCGTGGCGAATGCCGAACACCTTATCTTGGATCCGCGGCCAATGACATTGTTGTCGATAATAGCGCCCAAGAACGCATCACGATAGCAAGAAGGGGTATCGTAATGTGGCACAGCCTGCCGTTCTTAACCTGAAACAAAATTAAATAAAATGTTTATTTTCAGAAAGTTACTTTGGTGGGCCTACAAGCAAAAGCTACCATAAGGTAACTTGTCTTGATCAGTTGCGGACTAAGAATAGCGGGAGAGGCTCTGCCCCCAACGAAGAACGCTTCACTCAGTGCCCAACGTGCAGTATGAGAGTTGATGCAAACTTTGCAATAAAAGCTTTTTTAAAGTTAAAATTCATCGCTGCTTTTGCTGGGGTAAAAATTACGTTTTTTTTTTTAAATTTGAGTTCAATCAGGCAATGATTTAACTATATTTCACCAAGTGAACCAGTGAATGAAGTCTTCCTAAGGGGTAATACACATTCTACAAACGGGGCAAAGTTGCTCCTCAGGGCACTATACCCGCGAAGAAGAGAAAAACAGTTGGCCTCAAAGAACACCATCGAAAAGCAAAATAAGTCTCCCCAGGGGTAAACACTCTTTAGCCTTAAAAGAGCGAAAGAAGTGTCTCAGCTCCCAAGGGTAAGGATGATTTCTTCAATAGGAGTGCAAGTATCGGATTCCCAGCAAGCGCTCAGTCTTCCCGTAAAGTGCTTACGTTGCCTCCCCGGGCGATACCAAAATTTTGCTCCTGTTTTGAAGGTGTATATGTTTCAGATGAATTCTCCTGTTTTAGGTTATCCGTTCAATTCCACTAAAAGGGAAATTGAAGGGATAATATTTTATCATTATTTCGGGGGAACGCTGTGAAAGACTGTACCAAGCGCAAACACGTAAACACACAAACTAAAAGCACAGGGTCATGATGTACTCTCTGGGTTTTATAGGATTATAGGGTGAAAGCACAGGTGCCGAAAACAAAGCATAAGAAACGAGATGGCGCCTTTCGGCGCTGATAGTTTAAACTCGTTTTTCGATAAGTACAGCTCATGGAATGGGGTCTACAGCGGCAATACCCGTGGCATTGGATTTCACCGTGGCGATATAAAAGATTGGATTTTCAATAAATGTTGGTTGTGAGCGGGCCCTGTATTGTCTGCTTCCTTGTTCTCGTGTATTTTTGGCGCTTTTTTTCACCGCGCAAGAAGCGGACACACTTGTCCAGCCGAATAAGAGGAGGAAGAATGGAGTTGCGGCCATCGACTTCCTCTCGCGTTTGCAACGTGATATTTCTTTGCGCATTTACCATCATGACAAACCACCTGTCTTGACGTTTTCTGCTTAGTTTCACGATATCTGCAGTGAGACTCACGAGGTCATCCGCAAGAATCATCACAAGATTCGGTGGTTGCGAGGATGCTGAAGTTGCTTCCAGGAACAAGGCTACGGTGAACCAGCAGATTACGAGCCTCCACATGTGCGCTTTCTTCCTGGAAGAAATAATCTCCCTTCAGTCGTTTTTCGGGAAAAACAGAAAAAAGCAAGACAAAGATTAGCTTTTTTATGAACTAACTTTGATAAGTGGCATTCTTAATAGTCTTTAGTCTTAGACATTATGAAAGCGACAAGGCGTCTCTCTCGTGTGCCCGGCCTTGAGCATGCGCTCATGGCCTTCTGTCGTGTTTTGGTTGGGCGTGCACAGTCGAAGCTCACAAAACACCGAAGTGTAGCCTAAGGTAGGCAGCTCGCGCTCGGGGCGGTTCCCGTTTCGACCCGTTCCCGATTCAACCTTCCCGCTTGTACCTTCCCGTTTCGACCCGGCTCAAAACGACCTTCTCGTTTCATCCTTTCCCATTTCGCCCTTTCCTGAAAGAACCTTCCCGCTTCGGCCATCGTTCATTATCAATTGGGTCGGTTCGTTTGTATTGTTCGTTAACAGTTGACTAGTTTCAGTTGTCCAATGTCTGTCCTCCTTGTTCACCTCACTTCCCCCTCTCCCGAAACAACCTTGGAGACATGGCACCGTAAGATAAACGCTGTGTCAGGGAGGGTTCACCCGAGCATTTACAGCTTCATCGATCTGATCAAACGGGATGAGGCCTTGAAAGTGATATCTCTACAGCAGCTTGCAAATGGTGGTGCTGAGAGGCCCAGGGGACAGCCGCGAACTATCAAAATTTTAGTGTTACCCCTCTGATGGCGCGATTTGCCTGCTCGACTTCGTCAACCAAGGCGATAGCATTTTGTGGTTTAGGATTTTTGCCCGAGTGCGCGAGGGTTCTGTGTCTGAACTCGTAAGAAAATAAAGTCGCAATCATACACCTGCCAATCTGTCTCATTTATCTACTCTTCAAAATATCCCGTTCACTATAAGGAAGTTTTGGAATAACGTACGCAAGCGCTTTGGGTAACCTAAAAATAGCGTCGCTACATAAAACCTAAGGTAACGCTGATTTTTGTGTATAGTGCTTGCCTACATTATTCTAAGACTTCATTATCGTACAGAGCGCGACAATGTTAGCGGGAACAAGCGATTGTTGGTCTTCGCTGTTTGTCGCAAAGAATCAAAAGACTGCTATCAATATTATTAGTTCTTTAAAGTGCTCATCTGGGCCACTAACCTAAGCGGTACAATTTGGTACCTTCTAATACTATTTCGAAGTAAAATCGTCAACATCCTGTTCGCGGTAACGTTGTCGCGTAGTGTACATAGTCCGTTTCATAGTTACACATTTTGGGGACCATCTCGAAAGAAATATTTTAAGTGATTCAAGTAGAAATATATTTCGTTGAAGCTTGTCTGAAAGCGTTGTATATTTTAAGAATGCGTTGACAAGCAAAGTATTTTACAGCATTACTAAATAGCTCGCCTGCACCTTTGCACCAATTGCGTTAACACCATTTAGGGGCATATTCTTGAGCGGAAAAGATGCGCAAACCAGGGTTAGAACTTTTCGCAAAAAGGTTGAGATGTGTGGGGCTTTATACCAATAGGTTCAAACGGAACGGACTCAGACGTAGATGGTGTTTCGGCTACAAGTTCAAATAAAAAGGGCGTTTTGGAACCGGGTTGAAACGGGACAGGTTCAAATGGGACGGGTGATTCGGGGATGGGTCGAAACGGAACGGGTTCAAACTTCAAATGGGCAGGTCGTTTCAGGAATGGGTCGAAACGGGACGAGTTCAAACGGGAAGGTTGTTTCGGGAAAGGGTCAAAACGGGATGGGTTAAAACGGGAATGGGTTTTTTGGGCGTCTTTCTCGTGTGCCCGGCCTAGAGCATGCGCTCATGGCCGTCTGTCGTGTTTTGGTTGGGCGTGCACAGTCGAAGCTCACAAAACACCGAAGTGTAGCCTAAGGTAGGCTGCTCGCGTTTGAGAAGGAACTACTGAAAGACTTCTCTGCCGTTCTCATCTTGTCACTGACCGCAGCAGTTGAAGTGTGGATGAGCTGGTGAATGATATGCGCATCAGAACCTGCGACTCAAGGAAATTAAAACTCACACTATTACGGCCAAAACAAGAATAAGAACGGTTACTTGGGTGTATGCGTTTTTTTATGTGTGTTTCCTTACGCCAGTCTCTGATTATTGAGTCGTTTTAGTCCAGAACGTCGACGTTAAATCCCTTTCAGCGTCTGGTGTGGTCCGCCTGGAGCTGTCAGAGTAGGATGCGCTGGAAAGGGGGGGAGGGAGGCTTTTTTTTGCTTTTAGTTTTCAGAGTGCAAGTATTTAGACAGGGGTTTGCAGTGTGTCTCCTTGGCAGTGCTCCAAATATTACTGGAATGAATCCGAGTTACTCTGGCGGATCATGTCACGTGAGAACACAGATAGAGGAAAGCTGGACTAGGGT